AAAAATAAATCTGTTTTTTTTCTCATAAAAGGTTAAATAAAACAAAAATATTGGTGGTAATTTTTGACTGTGTAACTTTACAAACAGCACCACATAGTAGAACCAACATTTATTTTTGGAAAAACTTTTAGTTATTTGTTGAAAAACTAAACAGAGAGATCGATAAAAACAAGTCCAAACTGGAAACATTTGGTAAAAACCTGAAAACAACTGGATGAATTCAGACGTGGATTCACCTCCGGAGAAAATCCAAGTCCCGGTTCGTGTTGAGGGTCTCCACACAGAAGGGGGGCGTAAAGAAAACCCTTCAAAGAGCTCTGAAGGTTCTGTGGAGCTTTTGATGGATGTGATCCTCTGAGACGAGCTGTTCCTGAGACACCGTCCAGAACCCAGGAGAGAACTTTCAGAACTTCACCTGAAACAATCCTAAATCTAGATCTCTATATCCAAAATAAAAAAAATATTCTCACTTTATTCAAACTCAGAATAATTGAATCATTTAGTGAAAAAAAGGAGGAAGACCTGCTTCAGCTCTGCACGAGTGATTAGTGATAAATTAGTGATGATGATGAGGAGGAGGAAGAAGATACTCGTGTCCTGATCTGAGCTTCAACAGACTCAGCCTCGTGTTAATCAGACACTGGTTTCTGCATCACTAAATAATAGAAATATTCATTAACTGTCAGAAACCCCTAACAGAGGTGTGTGTGTGTGTGTGTGGGGGGGGGGGGGGGGGTGTCAACCAGACAGACCTTCAGGTTCTGCAGGAACAAAACCTGAAGGATCAGGTTTACAGAACACTGTCAGCACACAATAACTGTGGGACAAATTCAGAGTTTAGGAGGAAAAACTCATCAATCAAAACATAAAAAACAAATTAAAGTTCAAAGATTTGCTGTTTTTTTTTCTTTAGTTGAAACAACAGAAGAGATGAATCCAGGTGAGCAGAACCAGAACAGTTTAATGAAGTCTCAGAAAAAATAAAACATTTTAATTCAGCAGCAAACAAACTGGACTGAGGCAGACTGAGAGCTTCACATGTTGAGGGATTTTATTTATTCTTCATTTGAAAAATGGAACGCAGCCGTGTCTCTGGTCAGGTTGAGAAATGGAATGCAGCCGTGTCTCAGGACAGGTTGAGAAATGGAATGCAGCCGTGTCTCAGGTCAGGTTGAGAAATGGAATGCAGNAATGGAATGCAGCCGTGTCTCAGGTCAGGTTGAGAAATGGAATGCAGCCGTGTCTCAGGACAGGTTGAGAAATAGAATGCAGCCGTGTCTCAGGTCAGGTTTTCTGCAGCTTTGTTCCTCTGTTGTGTTGAACTGAGACCCCGTTAAGCTCTGAAGGTAAATAACATCCGGACCCTCCCAAACGGCAGAGTGGAATTTACTCAATTTAAAGCCCCCCGTCACGCTCACCTGGATCAGGACAGGAACAAATATCAGGCTGTCAGCTGGGACCCCTGAGGGGCTGCAGGCTCAGGAGGATCTGATCCGCTCTTTGACTCCAGACCGTCTGCATGTCAGGGTTTAGATGTTCTTTCATGGCTCAGTTTATTTTATTCCTTGTTTTGCGTGAAGTGGAATTTATTTATTTATTTATTTATTTATTTATTTATTTATTTATTTATTTAGCCAGCCTCAGAGTTATGAACTCTTCTCCAACCTTCCTGTTTGGATGTGAACTCTCCATCCAGTCTTTGTGATTAAGTCTTGATGCAGAGGAAACAGGAAGCCTGTGGCGGGAAAACGAGCTGGTCACGGCCACGGAGACCAGAGAGGATCGGTTTGCGGAGGGGGCAGGCGGAGGGACCCAGAGGAGACCAGGAGCTGAGACTCAGGAGAGTCAAGCTGACAGAAACCGGGGGGCGCGCGGGGGTAGGAGCTGGAGGGGGCTGCTCTGCTCCAGACCCCTAAAAATAAAAACCTTGAAGAAAAAATATAATTATTTTTTCCTCTAACAGATTTATTTTTTAATTATCCAGACAGTTTCTCCCTCAAACATTCGCATTTGTGTCGTTTTACTCTGAAACTCCTCACCGGAAGTGCGGCGCGCGTTGAGCGGTGCGTCTTTACGCGCGGACCTGGCACCCGGCGTGGTGCGCTCCGCTCCTCATTCCTCCCTCCAACAGCTCCGCGGTGTGTTCACAGACAAGTCTGAGAGCGCGCGCGCACGCACGCACGCACGCACGCCTGCGCCCTGTTTCACATGCGCACGCGCAGCGACGCGCACTCCTCCTGTTGTCGGACCCGTGAGGAGAGCTGCTCCAACTTCTGGTCGCTTCGCTCCAACTTCGATTTTTTTTTTCTTTCCTCCAATGCGCGGATTTAATCTGTGTCCCGGACTGAGGAGACCCACTTCACGGACCGGACTGGATATGTAAAAGAACCAGGTGGTGACCCAGAACCAGAACCAGAGGGAAAAAAGGAAGCAGAAATGGATGAACGGAGTCATTGTCTCGTTTTGACGCCTTTTTTCTTCTTCTTGGTACTTTTTGGATTTACTGAGGGACAGTTCTTCCCAGGTAGGAGAACCTACAGTTGTTTTGTGTTCTGGACGGTTCTGTTTGGTTTGAGGTTCTGCTGACAGACAGAGTGGTGTCAGGTGGACATGTGGGGTCTCTGTCCGCTTTCTGCAAACGGTTCGGTGGGAAACCTCCGCTGAAGTCCAGTTTGGCTGCTAATTTATTTAATTTTATGTATATATATTTGTGTTTTTGAACATATATTTGTGTTTTTGAACATATGTGTGCAGAAATCCTCACCCAGCAGAGATTTTAAAAGAAGAAAACAGATAAATGTTTAAAAGCTGCGGGTTCTGCTCCTCTCCAGCAGCAGGGCTGCTTCTGCCGCCGCTGTTTGCGCGCTGGATCTGCTCGGAAGTTTTGGACTCTTCAGAACGTTTTTACTCCTTAAACTCTAATAAAAACATTTAGTTATCCATCCCGGGTCAGAGCTGGAACACATTTTCATCAGATGCATCTAAATATTCTGCTTTGGACTCTGGAGTGTTGTGACGCGCCGCAGCTCCGTCTGCGCGTAAAGAAGAGATGAAATCAGTGAAATCCCGCGTCTTCAGGTTTGATCAACTTTAGGTCCAAACAGAAACGTGAGATCTGAACCGATCTCTGACGGTCCTGATGAAACGTTTCACTGCTTTCTGCTCCTCTGGCACTTGTTACGCACCGGGCAGGTTTGGAGAGTTTCAGTTATTTGATGATAAATCTGTTTTTACAGATGGAAAACAACACTGATTATATATATTTATGAAATTAGACTATAAAACGAACCATTTGGGGTTGAATGAGACGGTTTAATTCTGCAGTTTGTTTGATAAACGTGATGTTTCCTGGTGTGGGTCAGGAGTTTGGCTCCTCTCCTGTCTTCTGCTCTCAGTCTGTTTGGTATTCACGGCTCGTCGAGGCGCAAAGAGAGGCTGACTGTCTCTGAATCCTCCCTGCTCTCTGCGCGTAAAGCTGCAGCCGGACTAACCTCTCCACGGCTCTTTAGAGAAATAAAGTCTGCAGCTTATTTGATCTGAAATCAGAGCAGATTTATCAGCTTTGTGTTTAAAAGAAGCGATGCGAAGAATAAAACTTTGATTTAAATCCTTGTTTAAGTGAGATAAAGCTGTTTGGGTGGAAACTCATAGTTTGTGACGTTCTTTTTCTAACACTGGTCACTTTGATGCTTCTGCATCAAATAAGTTATTTTTGATAAAACCTGACATTTTTTTAATTTAAAGTTTCTGTTTCTCATCAGTTTCAGGTTGTTGTTCAGCTTTCAGCCGTTAGAGGGCGACATTGTTGCACGTGCTGCGTTCAGGGACAGTTTGTCTGTCCGTGCTGCTCAGCCACACAAACCCTCAGAGTGTTTCTGATTCCTTCATTCAGTCATGACAACAAACTGAGGAAGATTAAAACCTGACTCCTCTGCGGGGCTAAACTGACCAACTCATTTAGTCTTTTGTTTTTTAATTAACGAACAAAGCTGCAGCAGAGATTAATCCGTTTTACAGATTCAGATAAAATCAGTTTTTTGTTAAAGAAAGAAAAAAAAGTCACAGAAACAACTTGAAACTGACAAAAGTTATAAAAAAATGATTGACAAAGATACTCGTCGTAAAGGTTGGACTGACTGGACTACAACTTAAACTCATGGAGGACAGGATGTCTCGAGAAAAACGATGACATCATGTTAACGGTGAAGGCCGGATGTTCCTCTGACACAAACAGGAACCAAACCGTCCAGAAAACTTCTGAATATTAAAGGTCAAGAAAATAAAAAATGGAACGTTGAGACCTTCTGAATCTGAAACCTCAAGACTATCAAGGCCTCCTGGAGCAGAATGTGCTGCTCAGAGTCAGCCTCAGGTCACGTGTCCTCTAACACAGAGATTCTCAAACTGGGGTCTGCAAGAGATAACGTGGGGGTCCTCCAAAAATTTCACCAAATGAATTTGGTTTTTATTTTAAAAAATGCACGGGGAACAATGAACTAATATAAAAACATAATGAATTAAAGAAAATAAATATATTCCCATGGCATTTAGGCGTTGAAAAGACAGTAAAATTACCCTTTAAAAAGCATGGGGTTCATGAGGGGGGTCCCTGGAATTTATTTGGTCTTGTAAGGGGTCTCCAGACCCAAAATGTTTGAGAAGCCCCCCCTGCTCTAACAGGATAAAACCTGAGACAGCTGGAGCCGTTTGTCCCTGAGCAGTGGACAAATACATTTATCCTTCATATGTTTTCAGTTTCAGGTTATTTCAGTGAATTTGATTGGTTTTCGTTCTTCAACAAAAGAGTAGAAACAGATTATTCTGCTTGTTTCAGGCGATCAGATCCTTTTTTTTAAACGCTTCAGACTCTTTCTGTCCAACAAGGCCGCCCTTCTCATTCTGCGTGCAGCTGCGCTCCTCATCCACGTCTCTGCGCCGACCGTGGAGCGTCCGCTCAGACCTGGAGGAGATGAGCGCCGAGGCACGTGTGTGTGTGTGTGCGTGTGTGTGTGTGTGTTCAAGGAAACAAATTTACAATTTATGTTCTATCTAATTAGATTTCTTTGGCAGCAAGGACAAAAAGGGGAGAGAGGATGAGAATCAAGGAGAAACGGGAGGAGGGGCGTATCTGTCGTTCTCCTCATTGACAGGACAAGGAGACGACGTCTTTTATTAAATTTAACAGGTCGGTTAGAAAACTGTTTACACGATGAGCGCAGAGGGGACAACACGCTCTCGTAAAGAAATCCGGACGTGAAAAGGCCGGGAGAAGTTGGTCTGTGGAGGTGACGGAGGGGAGAGATGTGAAACTGAAGTTTAAGCTTCGGGTGAAAGCAGTGGCGGAGCCAGACATTTTTCTCAGGGGTGGCCAGGGCCCACTACTCACACAGGGGTGGCCGGGGCCCACTACTCACACAGGGGTGGCCG